GTCCACAGATTCTAAAAATATATTTCTTGTCCGTCCGGATATTTAAAAAAGTGGAGATGCTACATGTAAATTTTGTACATTTTTCATCACATGGCAGTAAAAAATAATATTTTTGAAAAAAATTCCAAATTATGAGTGTTTTCTATGTAGTTTCTTTGTAACTTGTCTAATTTTTTCACAGAACTCAGATACTGCCTTTAATAAGAAAGATTTTTAAATTTTAGCACAAAAGGCCTATGGACCTGAGATGCACCAGTGTACATAAAGCAGCATGTATACTTAAAGGGCCATCATTTTTACAGTTATTCTTTGATTTTGATTTTCTTTCACCGGCATGTTGCCAGAACACATGGGAAGGAAATAGAAAGGGCCTTTTGGTGATACCTGAAGTTTCACCCCTATATAGGACACAGATCACCAAATATTCCTACGCCGTCACCCACGAAACAAGGGCCAAAGCTATTTTTAGTCTTCCTCGCCCTTTTCCTTTTTCCCCCTTTTGCATGGCGATTTTTGTTGACTTTTGGGTGTAGTCTCTACTTCCAGCTTGTGTATCTCAAGTTTTTCATGAAGAACCTCATACGTGCTTTTGGGCAAGTGGTTGCCACATGTTGCTCCATCTGTGGTAGAAAGCGTTCTACCCAACGAAAATTTGGGAAAAAGTTAGAGCCGGTCTAAGATACAAGTTGTCTCCCTTAAACCTTCTCTTGTCTAGACTGGATACATTCTCCACACAAGTCTCGCCATCCAGTGTGGACTGCAAGGGAAGACAACTCTGTTTGGGAGATGGAGACAGACCACCATTAAATTTCATCATCTCGGTACCCACGAATTGTAGTTCGTCTATTTATAGCAATTCTATCTCTCTCTCTTTTCTCCCCTTTTGCATGCCCATTTGTGTTGATTTTTTGGTCTAGAATGGACGAAGAGGGTTTGAAAATACATTTTCTGCCAGGTTTTGGTGAATATTCATAATTTTGATGCGGAAGGATACAAGAGTTGAGATGTTGGTTAGGTTGAAATGTAGGGCCTGAAATTGCATGTTTACTTATCTCTACTTCCAGCTTGTGTATCTCAAGTTTTTCATGAAGAACCTCATACGTGCTTTTGGGCAAGTGGTTGCCACATATTGCTCCATCTGTGGTAGAAAGCGTTCTACCCAACGAAAATTTGGGAAAAAGTTAGAGCCGGTCTAAGATACGAGTTGTCTCCCTTAAACCTTCTCTTGTCTAGACTGGATACATTCTCCACACAAGTCTCGCCATCCAGTGTGGACTGCAAGGGAAGACAACTCTGTTTGGGAGATGGAGGCAGACCACCATTAAATTTCATCATCTCGGTACCCACGAATTGTAGTTCGTCTATTTATAGCAATTCTCTCTCTCTCTCTTTTCTCCCCTTTTGCATGCCCATTTGTGTTGATTTTTTGGTCTAGAATGGACGAAGAGGGTTTGAATTAACATTTTCTGCCAGGTTTTGGTAAATATTCATGATTTTGAGGCGGAAGGATAAGAGGGTTATCAGGTTAGCTACGGCGATATGTACGGCAACTAGTTACATGTTTTTAGTATGCTTCTTCAAGTTTGTGTATCTCAAAATTTTGGTGGTCAACCTCATACAAATTTTAGTGCAAAGACATGACCTTTTGTTCCTCTGTCTGTAGTGAAAAGCATTCAGCCCAACGAAAATTTGGGGAAAAGTTGGAGGTGGGCAAAGAGGCCAGAATTAACATTGAAGTCAATGGGGAAATTAATGGTGGTCTGCCTCCTATATGAAAACAACCTGACAGTGGATGAAAGGCCTAAATTTGATGATATGATCTCCAAATTGTCAGAAAATGTGATATATGGCATTTTGATGGTAAAAAATGTGAAATGGTAAAATTTCAAAAATATTTGACAAATTTGGGAGGGGAAATTTTAATTTTAGTCAAAATTTTGTGATTTTCAGTGTTTATTTACTTTTCAAAATTAGTGGAAAATATTTTAATGTATGATTTTTACTTTTTCTGCATTATAATTGTTAGACGGGAAGAAAGTATCATAATTTCACTCAATTTTGCCTAAAAATCATGATAAATTGTCTGAAATTCTTCAGATTACCCCCAATATTGCTGTCAAAATTTTAATTATTCATCTGTTGTAAAATGAACCAAAATGTCTTGCATGTCTTTATTTTCATTGTTAAATAACTTGGCAAGGATCCATGTGTTTGTCAGATATTGAAAAAGTATTCATGTGTTTGTCAAAAATTTAAAAATTAAGAAATTTAGTCTAATTATGTTCTGCTTAGGTGTGTTAGAATTTTCAAAACATTAGTGAACTGCATTTTGCTGCTGTTTTCCTCCGGCTTAACACAATTTTAATCTTTCAAAACCTGAAATTGTTGCATTTCCCTTCTCGAGAAAGTAAAATCTATGTGTTTGCAGGGAAATTTATCTGTCTTCATTTCATTTAGACTGGCTCACCCTCCCCACCCCACCCCTTTTCTTGAAGATGATATTTGGATATTCAATTGAACATTTGTTGACTCCAAATTAGCAGTAATCTGATTTTGTGCTTGAATTGTAACCAAGCATTTTATTTGACACAAACAAATAGTTACATATAAGATTTCAAGGATTTCTAAGACTTTTTGTTTATGGTCAAACATGTAATCCTATGACATTTCTTCCAAATGAGTCCACAACCCAAAATGGATATGTTGTAGATGTGTTTTTTGCAGCTTAATGTTTTACATTTTGAATGTAAATCTATTATTTGTGGTGATCTTTGAAAATGTGGCACTTACGCGGCAATAAAATATTAATTAATAGCCTTTTTATACCCCTTTTATGCTTTGAATTATGTCAGAACTCCCTTTTTCCATCTCATTTTGTCAGGACATTGATGTAAAGATTAAAACAACTTGCTTCCACATAATATTTACACTATGTAATTTCAAGGATACCTCTGATTGTTAAAGTATTTTATAAACTGAAATATTCCCATTTTTTAAAAAAAAATAGTGCTTTGCGACCCTTTTATTAGAGTGGCTGGTTGTCACCTAAATACAGCATTTATTTTACATTTATCAATCCATATTTTAATAAATAATTCATACTTCGTATAACAAACTGTGTTTGTATGTATGTATATAAGCCAGGGATAGAAAAACATGGCTTTTAGCCATATTCCATCAACAGTATTACTTATGTGGACACAAGTGGGATTTGTTACCACACCAACATTTTTAGAGGGTGGGCTTACAGGTTTCACTATAGTTCCTTACAGTTACCTTCAATGCAACAAATTTGTTGCTTGTCTTCCTGTATACCGGCCAAGGTTTCTAGAAATAAATGCTTTTCATCTCAGACTTTCCCAGAAATAGGGAAATATTAGCATTTTGAGGCATACAAAGTGTCAAAAATGGACCATTTTGTAGAAAAAGGTAAAAGAAAGTCAATTTGTGAAAAATATTCCAATATTTTGAATATTTTTGATGTGACTTGTCTGAAACTCTTTAAATCTTTTCGCAGAACTCACATTTCGACAAAATTAAGAAAGAATCTTCAATTCTAGAACAAAAGGCCCATGGACCTGAGCTGCAATCCGGTATACAAAACACTACATAACTTTAAAGGGTCACCATTTCTGCAGTAATTATTTTTTTCTGATTCTGTATTATAATAATTTTGCAAAAATAAATGTGAAGCTATAAAGAAAAGAATTTTGATGATATATGAACTTATAAAACCATATAGGAGGCAGACCACCATTAAATTTCATCATCTCGGTACCCACGAATTGTAGTTCGTCTATTTATAGCAATTCTCTCTCTCTCTTTTCTCCCCTTTTGCATGCCCATTTGTGTTGATTTTTTGGTCTAGAATGAACGAAGAGGGTTTGAATTAACATTTTCTGCCAGGTTTTGGTAAATATTCATGATTTTGAGGCGGAAGGATAAGAGGGTTATCAGGTTAGCTATGGCGATATGTACGGCAAGTAGTTACATGTTTTTAGTATGCTTCTTCAAGTTTGTGTATCTCAAAATTTTGGTGGTCAACCTCATACAAATTTTAGTGCAAAGACATGACCATTTGTTCCTCTGTCTGTAGTGAAAAGCATTCAGCCCAACGAAAATTTGGGGAAAAGTTGGAGGTGGGCAAAGAGGCCAGAATTAACATTGAAGTCAATGGGGAAATTAATAGTGGTCTGTCTCCAGATGGACTAAGACTAGTAATTATTTCCCTTTATTTCATGATGGATGAATGTAGTGCGAGTTATAAATAGACAATTTTTCCCTTAATTTTTTTCTCCCCTCTTCCTGCATTTTTGGGTTGACTTTTTGGTCTAGAATTGGAGAAAAGGGATCAAATTTGCAATTTCATAGCAGTTTGGGGTAATACTGATGATATTACAGCGGAGGGATAGGGGGTGTAAAGTGTCTTTCTGCAGAGCAGTCATTGTGTCGAAAGTCATTGTGTAGCAAAAAATCTAAATGGTCAACCCCCTACAAAATTATGATGAGGAGATTGCCAAATGTTGTCCCCATTGTGCCTATAAAGATTGGAACCAACGGAATGTTGAGAAAAAAGCTACAGCCTGTGATGTTACAGCCATTTAACATTGAAGTCAATGGGCAAATAATTGCTAGTCTGAGTCCTGATGATATAACAATTAATGGCCGACATGGGATGTTGATATTTTTTCAGCGGCTTATTTCCTGAAGTTTTGAATGAAAAGTGTCAGAAATGGTAAGAATACTGCTTTTTATTGCCCAGCAGTAGGTTTTTGGACTATTTGGTATTAAAATAGCCATGATTGGGGGTATTTGTTGGCCGAGTGTGAATTTTGGGTTGTAAATGTGTAACATTTTGTTCACAATGATATCAAAACATGGTTAGGTCTAAATATTAAGGCCAACTCAACTGCAGATTTGGTCTAAAGTCACGAGATGTAAACAGGGCTGACCCTAACCCTAACCCAAGACCCAGTCCTTACCCTAACCCTAACCCATCGCTTGATAAAGGATACCACTCCGAAATGTGCATCGCGATATAATCGAGGAACGACCCATCTATATTATATGTAAGATTCTTTTTCTCTCTTTATATTTTTATGTATTTTTATTTTTATATCTGTTAATAGTTTTAAATTGAACAATTGACATTACACAATATACTATACTGTGTAATTAATAAACCTCAAAGTTCAAACGATTTCCCTTTGTTTGATATGTGTTATATTTCTAGTTTCATTCCGTTACATTACCAGTACATATTGTGAAATCAGTACACGCTTGAGCACGAGCTCTTCTACCAATCTACTCACATACGTCGAATATCTAACCTTGTCTCTCTGCTAATTTACTTTTTGTCTCGCATTTTCCATTTCTTAGAACAAATACCACAGTAAACAAATACTGCACAACATTCTATATAGATACATTTTATTTCCCCCCCCCCTCTTCTCTTCAATCTCTACTGTATCTCGTCTTTACAGCTTTCTTATCTTGTCCCATTTGCACGTCCACACAAGCAGTTTTTTCCCCCAACCCCACCACTACTGGAACATGGATAGGCCCCGCACCAGACGCCCACTCCTTCCCACGCCAACTCAACTACCAATGGAATGGCCACAGCTACGAAGCAGATTCCAACCACCACCAGGCTTCCACCAACCACCACCAGGCTTCAACCAACCACCACCAGGCTTCAACCGACCACCACCAGGCTTCAACCGACCACCACCAGGATTCCACCAACCACCACCCGGATTCCGCTACCAGTACCAACCAAGTCGACAACCAAATCAGCACCAACCAAGTCGACAACCAAACCAACCAAGTCGACAACCAAACCAGCGCCAACCAAAACGACAACCAAACCAGCGCCAACCACCCCCAGAAAATGCAGGTGTCGTGAAAGCCTTCTTTCAGGTCCTCCAATGCCTCCACCACTTGACCATTATGGAGAGTCAGGAGAATGGAACACCAACCAGAAGTTTCACTTGGAAGATCCAAGACCTGAATAAGTTCGTGAAGCCGGCCATGAAGACGCCTACCATAGCCACTACCATTGAGACATTGAACTTGAAATGGGCCAAGGACGTCGCCTCATCCCTGTCGACACACTACCGAGCCATGCTAGCGGAGAAACTGGAGTACTTGAAGTCACGTCACTTTACCAAAGATGCTGTACAAGAGTACTCTAGCCACGCCCTAGCATGGGCCAAGAAGTCCTACGGCAAGCGACTTCAGGATAGTGTGAAGACAGAGTTCCACCGCCTACTGTCCACGGTCTCTAAAACTGTCACGCCCCCTCCCCCATCACCCATGCACATTACGCAAAACCTTCTCCGGGACACACCAAAACGATACACACCCAACAAGAGAAAATTATCCCCTGGAGAAGGCACTTGCATTAACACTCCCTCGAAGCGTGTAGCTAGATCAACCAGTTCGCCCCGGGCTGTGTCTGGCTCACCTACTTCCTCAGGATCTATATCGCCACTAAACGCGCTTGTCGACTGTCTGTCCCCTAGATCGCCCATCATTCCTAACCCTAGAATCGCCACCAGATCTTCCACCAGATGTAGGCGATCACTCAACCTATCCCTAAAGAGACCTCACAGCTACAAAGGTAAAGACGAGAAGGATTTATGGTTCCTACCACCCGTCATGGCAAAAACCCTGGTTATTGGATCCTCTAACCTGGCTAGGATTGCATCCTTCGTCGGGGACTGGGAGATCCATAGCTACTCTGGAGCCAAGATCAGCCACATCAGACAGATACTCCAGAACTACATGGGTCCTGCACCAGAGGAATTAGTGATACACGTCGGGCTCAACAACAGGGAGGAAAGTGGACCAAGGATACACGAGCAGATGCTAGATCTACTCAAGGTGACCAGAGCAGCTTTCCCAACAACCATGCTCTTCGCCACACAGATCCCCACTTCTTCCCGACTCCGACAAGAAAATCTGATCGCCTACCAAAACATCACTAGCTACAACCAACTGATCTCCACTGCACCTTCACCAAACGCCACCACATTACCAACCTTCAAGGGCAAAATAGAACTGAAAGGTAACGACGCAATCCACTGGAGCCCAGACACGGCCAGAGAGATCATCAACTGCTGGATGAGGAATTTAAACTAGGATTAGGGAAAAGGAATGAGAAGCCGTCTTTAGGACAGACAGTTGTCAATTTGAGCGACAGACTTCTCAACCCCCTAGAAATGAACATTCTTGATAAAGGCCTTAAATTCATCCCAACCCCCACAATAACATCCATAGACCCCATCACCCAGGCAACCGATCGCTTCCAAAGAACACTTTCGTTGACTTATTTTTTTAGGAACAAACCCGGCAGAGGTAAAAAATTATTCACAGCAAAATCCACATGGAAACCACCTAAAAAGTCATTATCACCAGCCATCCTAAAAACTGTCGACGAAATGAATATAGAAATATCATCCATTCAACCACAGTCACAAAAACCAAATCTCAACCGAGCAACTAAAACGGCATTAAACACCCTTAAAAAGTACAAAAACATAATAATTAAGAAAAGCGACAAAGGCTCGTGTTGTGTCATAATGAATCGCGCAGACTATATCTCAGAGGCAGAAAAACAATTAAGTAATCCTATACATTACACTAAATTAGACCAACCCATCTTTAAGGACACCGCAAATTTAATAAACAACATCTTATATGAATTGCAGGATAAGGAATACATAACAGCAAAACAATATGATTATCTATCTGCTAAATCTGACTGCCGACAAAGACATCTCTATACACTACCAAAAATACATAAAAATCCAGAAACAGAATGGTTTATACCTTATAAAATACCCAAGGGACGCCCAATAATATCAGACTGTGGCAGCGAATCATACAACGTATCAAAATATATAGACCATTTCTTATTACCCCTAGCATGCCAACACCCATCCTACCTTAAAGACACTAACGATTTCATTCAGAAAATCAAACAGTTAAGAGTCCCCGAACACACCGTTTTAATATCCATCGACGTACAAAGCATGTACACGAACATTGATAATAACACAGGTATTGAAGCAGTTAGGAAAGCATTTCTTAGGAACCCGCAAGCATCCAGGCCGGACGAAGAAATCCTCAAACTACTCAACATTTGTCTGAGGAGGAATGACTTCGCTTTTAACGACCAAGTATACCTTCAGTCTTCCGGAACTGCGATGGGAAAACGATTTGCCCCGAGTTATGCAAATCTCTTCATGGCGGAGTGGGAAAGGGAAGTTCTGCCACTCTGTCCATTAAAACCAGATTTCTATGGGCGGTTTTTAGATGACGTTTTCATAGTCTGGACCTACACACTAGACGAATTTTGGACGTTTTTCAACATTCTGAACAATCATCATCCATCTGTCAAATTAACCGCAAATGTAAGCCATAACAGCATAGATTTCCTTGATACTACCGTTTTTAAAAGTAACAACACCAAAATCACAGGCCAATTGGAAACTAAAGTATTTTTCAAAGAAACCGACACACATCAATTATTGTTCAAAAGCTCCTTTCACCCAAAACATACATTCTCTGGCATCATAAAATCTCAGATTCTCCGTTTTCATAGGATATGTACTCAGAAGACCGACTTTGAGTCAGCATGTACATTGGTATTTAGCAAACTAAGGGAAAGGGGATACCCCAAACGCTATCTACGACGTATAAAAAACAACACTCTAGCTGAGCTTGCCGCCAAAGAAACAAATAATATACAATCAGCACATAACACCAAAATTTGTGGCCATCCAAGATGTCAAACATGCAAAATCTTAAACATATCCGACCATTTCCATAACAAAACATCTGGCACAAAATTCCCAATATTAGACCAACTTTCATGCAGTAGTTCAAACATAATTTATCTAATCTCATGCAGAAAATGTGACAAGCAATACGTAGGGGAGACTCAAAATGCACTTAGGGAAAGAATTAACGGTCACCGGTCTGACATAGTCACCAAAAAAGACAAACCTGTCTCAATTCATTTCAACCAACCAAATCATGACATTTCTGATCTCATTGTCACGCCAATAGAAAAGACCAAGAGCGACTTTGAAACTTCAGAAGAAATTAAAACGTTTAGGCTAACAAGAGAAAAATTCTGGATTGAAAAATTGAAAACAACAGCCCCCCTAGGTTTGAATATTCATACGGCTAGCGCAATAGCTCCTTTTGTAGTTCCATTTAGCGCAACAGCAGCAAGTGCGTCCAAAATCATCAGAAAACACTATACTGATCTCCAAGAAAATCACCCGAAAATATTCACACAGAAACTTATAATTGCATATTCTAAAAATAAAAATCTGAACGACATCCTAGTGCACAGTAAATTAGATTAAATAAAACCAGTCTCCACCCTGACCCAAAACAAACCATATATCAAATCCTATGCCTAACCGTTAGTAATTAAAATCAATTAGATATAAGAATCCCTAGCCGTAACCAGGTGATGTGGAACAAACACGATTCTTTTTTTTTTAGAAAATCCAATCCGTTGTAGGAAACACACTAATGTGGCTCTCTCCCGAGAGCCTCAAATTTATTTTCTTTTTTCTTCAGAAACAATAATACCAGAATACCAGAAGCACCACCCAAGGAAGACCAACAGCGCCACCAACACCAATAAACAGTGAAATCGCCTTTGTATATAAATCTAATGTATTGTATGTATTTTAACAAAACTAGGAAATATCACGAACTAATTTTTCATCATCCTAGGTCAGTGCTTATGTGGAGACTTAACCTCTCCCCCCAAATTCTTAAACCTAACCCACAATCTTTTCAAAAAGCATGTAGCCTAGGCCTAAGCCAAGACCTAGTCCTGACCCTAGCCCTAACCCACAATTGTGTCAAAAAATCATGTGCCCTAACCCTATTTACATGTTGTGACCTTGAACCAAGTCTGCAGTTGGCCTTAATATTTAGACCTAACATGTTTTTGACATCATACAATGAAATGTTAACATGTACACTCCAAAATTCACACCTGTGTGACTTGACTAAACCTGCAGTTGGCCTTAATATTTAGACCAAACCTCAAAACATGGTGTCTACCTTTGAGATTGGCTTAGACTTATGTGACACTCAAGGTTTACTTATTTACTGACTGTTAACTGGTTTCTTGTTTTGGGGGGGGGGGGGCCACTGAAGGGATGTTCGCTAGAAATAAAGAGGCATATTATTTCTATTTCCAGTTGAAACCACGAGGAGGTCTCCCTTCTTATTCAACCACATATTTTTTTTTATTATTATTATTATTTTCTTTTTTTTTTATTGCATATTTATTTCCATCTTTCATTTCAGGTGTCAGGTTACTGTGCAAGAGTGGTATGATTGACATTAAGGCAAAAGGTGGGTATATGACAATGGCTTGCATTTGTCTGTCTTGCTTATTTACTATAGCTGTGATCCTGTAAAGTGTCATCTGCTGTTGATGGCTGGTCTAAATGGCCCTTTTTATAGCCGGATTCAACTGCACAGTTATTCTTGTACTCGCAGAATTCATAAAGCTTTCGTCCACGCAGCAGAAGTGCTTGTCTTTGCACTTCGGGTCTGGATTGGTATTCTCTGTGGTACAGACTTTCTCTTTCTATTTGCCGCAGGGAATATCTTGTCTTTGGAGAAAGAGGGGCCCCAAGGAGTTTAGCTTTCTGCTCAGTGGCACTCTTTATTCCATCATTGCTTCTCAATATTGTTGAGGAAAGTCGACCCATCGCATTTCTTCCGTAATTTACATTCTTTGGAAGTGAAACACTCAACGAGCGGTTGATTGCTTCACATTTCTGTGTATTTGTTTGGAATTTGGTTTTTTCTAAAGCTTCTTAACTTATTCGGATTTTTAAAATTTCACTTAGAATTGATTTGTCATTTTCATTCATTTTCAGGGAATCAACTTTATTTGAGGCCAGATACATGGAACGGTTCCACCAGTTATTTGTTATCCCACCCCAGCACACAACAGAATGAAGGCGGCACTTTGAGCAGTCGCCATCGTAACACATGATAGTGGACTCTAGGACTTTTGGTAGGCGTTTTCTCATCTCCTCAGTATTACCACAGTGATTTTCAAACAATGTAGTCATGATTAGACTGCATCTAGCTTTTACATCTTGGCTCAGTATTTTCTTGATCTTGCCCTTATCCAGTCTGGTTTTACCAGGAAACATCTCCTCGCTGAATTTTGCATTATAGCAGTGCCTAAATTGAGTGGCAGCCAGGTGTGTAGGGTCAGCTAGTCGCTCCACACTCCACATCGGATGCAAAATTTTTAAACTATCTTCAATTCCAGCAGCTGATCGTCCATCTCCATCTGTTGTTGCATATTTGATGAGGACGTTTTGGAGAGCTAGTTCTGTGCCAATGCTTTTTCCCATGTCATACTCAGATAATGGTGCGTGAACTGGTAAATTTGCAGTACAGCCTTCGTGTCCCCCAGGGCAGTTGACAGTAAAACCTTTTCCCTTAAGCCAGGCACCTTGCCAGCACAGTTTATTTTGCATCACAGCACTCAGGATATATTTGTGCTTTGTGTTTGTCTCGCATGCAATTCCAATGGCTTGCGAGGCTGCTTGCCCTGGCTTTTTACTGTGGCCTATGGTTATGCTGTTGTAACGCCCATCCACTGCAACATTTATTATATTTGGGTTTACTGACCCTCCCTTCTGATTAAAAGATTTGACTGCTTCTATTTTTTCCCTCATGTTAATAGTGTTCAACCTTGTCATTTTAGCACTAACTTGGTTAGAAAGAGTCTGCATGCCACTCCGAGAGGGCGGTGGAATATCCAAATCTGTCAACAGCAGCCGAGCTCTGGTGTTTCCAACCGGCATGTCTAACAGTCCAGATTGTAGGGTCAGATTAATAGCGGCTGCCTTTCTTCCTGGTTTGCCAGTTGGAATCTCTTTATACAACTTGTAGACAGGTGAGATAAATGTACATTTTGTACACTTTACAGAGTACATCCAAACCGCTCCCCACTTCTGCTCATTAACAGGCTGGAAATTTGGTACTGCACAGGCCTTTCTTCTCCCCTGGGCATGTAACCGAATGACAGAATTCCACATTTCAATCATTTTCTGGATGTCTATAATCCTGTTTCCCTGGATAGTATTCGCCTCAGAATTCTCAGTCTCATCCAAATTTAACATTTCAGGTCTACATCTCAAAACCCGATGACTTCCCGGACTGGCATTAGTAGAAAGATGATGCATATGAATTTCATCCCTGATCTCTGTGACACCTGTGGAAGTTGAGGGCAAATCACGAACTAATTTTTCATCATCCTAGGTCAGTGCTTATGTGGAGACTTTAACCTCTCCCCCAAATTCTTAAACCTAACCCACAATCTTGTCAAAAAGCATGTAGCCTAGGCCTAAGCCAAGACCTAGTCCTGACCCTAGCCCTAACCCTAACCCACAATTGTGTCAAAAAATCATGTGCCCTAACCCGATTTACATATTTACATGTTGTGACCTTGAACCAAGTCTGCAGTTGGCCTTAATATTTAGACCTAACATGTTTTGACATCATACAATGAAATGTTAACATACGCACTCCAAAATTCACACCTGTGTGACTTTTGACTAAACCTGCAGTTGGCCTTAATATTTAGACCAAACATGTTTTGACATCATACAATGAAATGTTAACATACGCACTCCAAAATTCACACCTGTGTGACTTTTGACTTAACCTGCAGTTGGCCTTAATATTTAGACCAAACCTCAAAACATGGTGTCTACCTTTGAGATTGGCTTAGACTTATGTGACACTCAAGGTTTACTTATTAACTGACTGTTAACTGGTTTCTTGTTGGGGAGGGGCGGGGGGCACTGAAGGGATGTTCGCTAGAAATAAAGAGGCATATTATTTCTATTTCCAGTTGAAACTGCGAGGAGGTCTCCCTTCTTATTCAACCACATATTTTTTTTTAATATTATTATTATTTTCTTTTTTTTTTATTGCATATTTATTTCCATCTTTCTATCATTTCAGGTGTCAGGTTACTGTGCAAGAGTGGAATGATTGACCTCAACACAAGTATTAAGGCAAAAGGTGGGTATATGACAATGGCTTGCATTTGTCTGTCTTGCTTATTTACTATAGCTGTGATCCTGTAAAGTGTCATCTGCTGTTGATGGCTGGTCTAAATGGCCCTTTTTGTAGCCGGATTCAACTGCACAGTTATTCTTGTACTCGCGGAATTCATAAAGCTTTCGTCCACGCAGCAGAAGTGCTTGTCTTTGCACTTCGGGTCTGGATTGGTATTCTCTGTGGTACAGACTTTCTCTTTCTATTTGCCGCAGGGAATATCTTGTCTTTGGAGAAAGAGGGGCTCCAAGGAGTTTTGCTTTCTGCTCAGTGGCACTCTTTATTCCATCATTGCTTCTCAATATTGTTGAGAAAAGTCGACCCATCGCATTTCTTCCGTAATTGAGTGGCAGCCAGGTGTGAAGGGTCAGCTAGTCGCTCCACACTCCACATCGGATGCAAAATTTTTAAACTATCTTCAATTCCAGCAGCTGATCGTCCATCTCCATCTGTTGTTGCATATTTGATGAGGACGTTTTGGAGAGCTAGTTCTGTGCCAATACTTTTCCCCATGTCATACTCAGATAATGGTGCGTGAACTGGTAAATTTGCAGTACAGCCTTCGTGTCCCCCAGGGCAGTTGACAGTAAAACCTTTTCCCTTAAGCCAGGCACCCTGCCAGCACAGTTTATTTTGCATCACAGCACCCAGGATATATTTGTGCTTTGTGTTTGTCTCGCATGCAATTCCAATGGCTTGCGAGGCTGCTTGCCCTGGCTTTTTACTGTGGCCTATGGTTATGCTGTTGTAACGCCCATCCACTGCAACATTTATTATATTTGGGTTTACTGACCCTCCCTTCTGATTAAAAGATTTGACTGCTTCTATTTTTTCCCTCATGTTAATAGTGTTCAACCTTGTCATTTTAGCACTAACTTGGTTAGAAAGAGTCTGCATGCCACTCCGAGAGGGCGGTGGAATATCCAAATCTGTCAACAGCAGCCGAGCTCTGGTGTTTCCAACCGGCATGTCTAACAGTCCAGATTGTAGGGTCAGATTAATAGCGGCTGCCTTCCTTCCTGGTTTGCCAGTTGGAATCTCTTTATACAACTTGTAGGCAGGTGAGATAAATGTACATTTTGTACACTTTACAGAGTACATCCAACCCGCTCCCCACTTCTGCTCACTAACAGGCTGGAAATTTGGTACTGCACAGGCCTTTCTTCTCCAATGGGCATGTAACCGAATGACAGAATTCCACATTTCGACCATTTTCTGGATGTCTATAATCCTGTTTCCCTGGATAGTATTCGCCCCAGAATTCTCAAACTCATCCAAATTTAACATTTCAGGTCTACATCTCAAAACCCGATGACTTCCCGGACTGGCTTTATTAGAAAGATGATGCATATGAATTCCATCCCTGATCTCTGTGACACCTGTGGAAGTTGAGGGCAAATCATAATCAGTTTGGGTTCCAGCCGAGGACCCCTGTAAACGTTGCTGTTTAGTGTTGACTTCATGTCCGAGCTTGAAAAAGACAGCCTTGCGTTTATTATGGCCTCTCATATTGGAAGATAACATAAATGGCTTGTATGTTGACTGTTGTGCATATCTCTGGGTCAGGAAAGTTGTAGGTACCATCAACATTGTAAATCATTTGACAGACCAGAATGGAGAGTGAGAACTATGATTGGTCAGCCATGTATCAGATTCCATACTAGGGGGTGGGGATCATAAAACTGTTGTAGTGTTACATAATCAGATTATCTGAACTTAATTGTCCTATGTAAATACAGCTATGTAGGAGACATTTTAAAATTTATAGGCACTGCATGTTTCAACATCTTAGATTTGACCACAATTTGGCTCTTGAAACTGCGTTAAGAGAGAAAAACTATGATCTTTTCGACGAAAATGTTATAAAAATCTAATATTACATGATAATTACTGTTTTAAAGGATTTTCTTGTTTGATTTATATTGAATTTTTGTTATCTTTTTACAGAATGCATTTATGTTCAAAAATAAAAATGTTCTGTTTAATTCAAAATTCATGTGCTTTTAAATTTCTGTCTGAAATTCCGCAGTTTTCTGATGTATTATAGTGTTTGCAGAATGCCGCACAGCTCATTTGAAAATGCATAGATTTTCATAATCTTTGGCCAGGGAATTGCATATATGTTTGTTTATTAGATAACAACAGATTTGTTTAAACTGCAGAAACATGTGAGGTATATAGTCAGTACAATTGTCTGACGTACCATGCACCCGCGGTACTATTTACTGGGCATGAATATGGTAGTGCTGAGGCAGTATAAGACCACAGAGGAGTGGAAGAATGATTTCACAATGGAATTTACCGGCGCAGGCGCGAAAAATTTCAGATATGTAACTGATCTTTAAATTTTTGGGGACTGGGCCTGAAATTTTTTAGTCTATGTCATGACAAATGGGATCAAATTTTCCTTAATGAGAGGATTAGAAATGGGGCAGAATCTTGAGGCCCGTCCGTCAATTTCGCCTGTTTTGTGAGAGTATAAATAACAATTCTACAGTCTGTCGCCCAACTCACTAGTGGTACTACTAGCTGGGCGATTCACTGTAACTGTGAATATGATAGTGATGAGATTGTATAAGACAGAAGAGTTGAAGAAGTTTTTGCAGAATTCTGATGGTCAGAAAATACTTACAACATAAGTAAAATACGTTTGAATTTCTACTGGGATTAAATATGCAACAAGAAAAAACTCTTAGTTCAATAGACCGCCTTAACATTTCGACTAATGTTATTCGTATGACAATAATATAATTTAAGGTATCAAAATCTTCGTAACAAGCTCTCTCAATTTCTTAGACCAACACTCTCATAACAGGGAAGATTTTTTATACGCCCACATTTTCATGTGGACGTATTATGCCGTCACCCCTGTCCACAATTGTTTGTGGACTCTCTACAGGTCACAATTCTTATCCGATTTTGACGAAACTTGAAATATAGGTTTATCCCCAAAAGATCTCGGCTGCTTTCCTTTCGATATTGGCATGTATCGGATCGAAACTTCATGGATTATGGCCCCTGATTGTACGAAAAATCACGTTTTTAGCTTGTGGACCTTATAGAGGTCACAATTTTTATCCGATTTTTTTAAAACTTGAAATGTATGTTTATAACCCAAAGATCTCAGTTCCTTTCGATATTCGCGCATATCGGACCGTAACTTCCTTAATTATGGCCCCTGATTGTACGAAAAATCACGTTTTTAGCTTGTGGACCCTATAGAGGTCATAATTTTTATCCGATTTAAAAAACCGTATTATTATATCACAGTTACACCCTAAGGAAGGTTGAGTTCGAATTTCGTGGAAATCGGCCCAAAATTGACAGCAAAATGGCCGCCGTTCGTTCTCAAATAGCGTAAAAATATGGTATATCAAGGTTGTGGACCCTATAGAGGTCACCATTTTTATCCGATTTTGTTGAAAATTGAAATGTAAGTTTATAACCCAAAGATCTCGGTTCCTTTCGATATTCGCGCATATCAGACTGTAACTTCCTGAATTATGGCCCCTGATTGTACGAAAAATCACGTTTTTAGCTTGTGGACCCTATAGAGGTCATAATTTTTATCCGATTTAAAAAACCGTATTATTATATCACCGTTACACCCTAAGGAAGGTTGAGTTCGAATTTCGTGAAAATCGGCCCAAAATTGACAGACAAAATGGCCGCCGTTCGTTCTCAAATAGCGTAAAAATATGGTATGTCAAGGTTGTGGACCCTATAGAGGTCACAATTTTTATCCAATTTTTTTAAAACTTGAAATGTACATTTATAACCCAAAGATCTCGGTTCCTTTCGATCTTCGCGCATATCGGACCGTAACTTCCTGAATTATGGCCCCTGATTGTACGAAAAATCGCGTTTTTAGCTTGTGGACCCTATAGAGGTCATAATTTTTATCCGATTTAAAAAACCGTATTATTATATCACCGTTACACCCTAAGGAAGGTTGAGTTCAAATTTCGTGAAAATCGGCCCAAAATTGACAGACAAAATGGCCGCCGTTCGTTCTCAAATAGCGTAAAAATATGGTATATCAAGGTTGTGGACCCTATAGAGGTCACAATTTTTATCCGATTTCGTTGAAACTTGAAATGTAAGTTTATAACCCAAAGATCTCAGTTCCTTTCGATATTCGCGCATATCGGACCGTAACTTCCTGAATTATGGCCCCTGATTGTACGGAAAATCGGGTTTTTAGCTTGTGGACCCTATAGAGGTCATAATTTTTATCCGATTTAAAAAAATCGTATTATTATATCACCGTTACACCCTAAGGACGGCTGAGTTCGAATTTCGTAAAATTCAGCCCAAAACTGACAGACAAAATGGCCGCCGTTCGTTCTCAAATAGCGTAAAAATATGGTATGTCAAGGTTGTGGACCCTATAGAGGTCACAATTTTTATCCAATTTTTTTAAAACTTGAAATGTACATTTATAACCCAAAGATCTCGGTTCCTTTCGATCTTCGCGCATATCGGACCGTAACTTCCTGAATTATGGCCCCTGATTGTACGAAAAATCGGGTTTTTAGCTTGTGGACCCTATAGAGGTCATAATTTTTATCCGATTTAAAAAAATTGTATTATTATATCACCGTTACACCCTAAGGGCGGCTGAGTTCGAATTTCGTGAAATTCAGCCCAAAACTGACAGACAAAATGGCCGCCCTTCGTTCTCAAGTAGCGTAAAAAATATGGTATATCAAGGTTGTGTACCCAATAGAGGTCACAATTTTTATCCGATTGTGTTGAAAATTGAAATGTAAGTTTATAACCTAAAGATCTCGGTTCCTTTCGATATTTGCGCATATCGGACCGTAACTTTCTGAATTATGGCCCCTGATTGTACGAAACATCGCGTTTTTAGCTTGTGGACCCTAAAGAGGTCATAATTTTTATCCGATTTAAAAAACCGTATTATTATATCACCGTTACACCCTAAGGAAGGTTGAGTTCAAATTTCGTGAAAATCGGCCCAAAATTGACAGACAAAATGGCCGCCGTTCGTTCTCAAATAGCGTAAAAATATGGTATATCAAGGTTGTGGACCCTATCCGATTTTGTTGAAACTTGAAATGTAAGTTTATAACACAAAGAGCTCAGTTCCTTTCGATATTTGCGCATATCGAATTGTAATTTCCTGAATTATGGCCCTTGATTGTAGGAAAAATCACTTTCTTGTTAGCTTGTTCTCTATCCATCTCTCGAAAATGTGGGCGTATCCTGCCTGGTAGCCGCTGGTTTTCAAACATGACAAGTTGACTAGGGATCCCAAATGACTCAAACCATCGACTCAAACACACCAGCCTGGTCTAATTAATGCTTCCACTTTCAAACGGGAGCCACGGTGGCTAGGTGGTTAAGACGCTGGCTCGCTAGCCTGGAGGTCGGATGTTCGATCCCTGCATTAGCCGAGAAAGTTCATCCAGATTTTCCGACGTGGTTTCCCCTTGTCAGTGGTGCAGAACAGAGGGCCTGACAAGGACAGCTGTCTAGTCCTTCGGATGAGACGAAAAACCGAGGTCCCGTGTATACATTGGAATGCACGTAAAAAATCCCTTTGCAGTTGGAATTCGATATAAGAGTAGTACCGCTGCCCGGGCAAAATTTCCCTCATAGCACACTGTATGGCGTATGCCCGTCTTCATTAGCCCAGTATAGGAGTAGGACGTCAAACCCCATTTCATTTCATTTCATTTCCACTTTCAAACGAATTTTTGTTGTTTAGCTGACGGTGCCCTAATCCTATAGAGTGACGAAAGACAGACATCAATGATACCATCTTGTGGAATCGGCGGCGTATACATATACGCTCATGCCCATCACCGACGCGCATTAGTGCAACTTGATGTAGCATTGTTTCATGTGTGAACAGTAAATGAAATGAAATGAAATGAGGTTTAACGTCCTACTGTTCTGCTCCTAAACTGGGCTAATGAAGACGGGTGTGTGGACAGAACAAGTTACAATAAGGCTTAAATAGTGAAGTGGGTAGGGAATAGGGAATAGATTCGTCTTTTTTCCTATCATAATGCCTCGCTCGCCTTGACAATTTTCGAGTCGCGTGTTCAACTGGCTTTTTTGCTCGATTTTATGGCTCTTTTCCAACGATTTCCGAACGTTATCTTAGACGAAAATATCAGCCAAATAGCTCTTGGAATGGCTACAGATGCAGGAAATGACGGATAATTTTCTTGGGGACCCCCCCCCCTCTCAGCGGCGTGCCGCGTCTCCGCGGTCAGTGCCCTCATTTTGCGGCGCCCCCCCCCCTTTTCAAAATTCCTAGATCCGCCCCTGTTTTATACTATACCGTTGCAATTTAGGTGCACGGGTTCACACAAAATTTTTCCCTTCTATTTTGGCATAATTTGTTTACCTCATTAATTCATTGAGTGTCAGACCGACTGCAGTGATGTGACGTAAGAAATTTTTAAGTTATATTTTTAAAATTTATTAAAATAGAGCCTTAAAATAGATGGTATCCATAAACCGTCCTACCTTGTTAAAGAATAATCCTATTAATCCTATAATTCACTATTGTCAGCTGAGAAATTGGCAAAAATATTTTCAACTTCAAATTCCAATGTTTGAAGGTAGCTAATGCATGGAGGCAATAGGAAAACAAGGGAGGTAATTGTGTTATTATTTCCTGTGTCAATGATTTTTAAGGGTTTGAAATAATGCCCATGGTCGTATAATAGTGAGTTGATAACCTATTGAGCAAAAGACATATAAATAATGATGTTTTGACTTTCTTAGAAAATATGAAATTCTCGCTTTAAGTATTTGAGATTTTCCCTTCTATTCTGGCATTGTTTGTTTACCCCATTAATTTATTTTATTAGTCGCCAATGTATAATTTTGAGACCGACTGCAGTGACTGCACTTATTTTGAGACCGACTATTTTTCTCCCTGGGTTTCTTTTCTTCTTATACCAACTCAAACAGAATAAGGGTAAAAAAAACTTTTTTTCAAACATGATAAG